GGATCTTTTTAACTCAGTAATCTGTTACTTGGCTTTCCGTGGGACCCAGTCACAGTGAAAGCCAAGCTGCTCTGATTCCGAGTTATCCCAAGTAAAGATGACAAGGACATGTCCATAAGGCTAATAACTGGCAGCACATAAAACAGAGGTCTACTCCAGCAACATGGGGCTAGGAAGATAATCCAGGGAGATCGTCCAGGATGAACTTCTCTTCTGTGCCTGTGTTAGGGATGTCAGTGGACTGGATAAGGGATTTTACAAATTTAGACTCAGGGAGAGGGGATCATCGAAAGGCTCAAGTCACATTGTCTTTAATATATTTCTCCAGAGGAAACTCATCTGTGATTATGTTCACATGCTTTCTTCTTTCAGGAGGTGGAAGAAGTCACATATTTAAATAGAATCTGACTTTATTGGCTTCAAGCCTTACAAAACCATTATTTTAATGTACTGCAGATTCTTGTAGAGAATCTATTTATTGTGTAGCTTTTAATTATGCAGTTGTTTAATAGTTTAATTATTCAGTGGAATGTACAGGCTTTGCCTATTCTCCAAATGGTGCATTGCACTTACTAAAGATAAGTCTGTGTAATCCAATTAGATGCTGACACTCCCTCATTTGTACTGGAAACTATTTTAGATTTATATACATCTTAAAGTTAGGTTGGCTTTTTTTTTAAGATTGGATGAGAACTGAAGAAACTAAATAGTAATCACTAAAGCACTATTGTAAACATGACTTTAGAAAAGAGGATAAAAATACAGAAGGGGCAATCAATCAGAAAATGCAGGAGAGATAATATTTTTAAAAATAATAAAGATGGGGACTCTCTGGTCTTCCAGGTTCCATTGACCCTGAGACAAATAGTGAAGGAAGGTCAGAAGATTTGGCCATGTTGGGGGTCTGGTATTCAGGGCAGTTTTTAAATCTGGCAAAGAGGATACTGTTATAGTGACCTACTGATTGACCTCAACCCCATGGTCTCCATGTTCCAGTATGAGTTCAGTAGTATGTAGTCAAAGCTGAGGACGGGAAACTTATTGAGGCAAGCCCATCTTCATCTTCCAGGAGTGAGAGTGCATGAACATGCTGCAAAGTTCGCTGATGTCTTTACCTCCTTGGAAAAGACTGGTATCCTATCACTGTCTCCTTACTTGCCCAAGTTCCCCATCAGCACGGGAACTTGATGAAGGAGAGGACCAAGGTGTCCTCTTTCCAGTAGTCCTCATTTTACCTCCTGCACCTTACCCAGTGGAAATGTGTTCACCCCACTGAAATAAGTGTAGACCTTGCAACTCAGATGTTTCCCATCATCATTTTTCCCAGGAGGAGAGCTATTAGGGCACCACAATTAAAGCGAGAGGTATAATTAAAAATCCCACCTCAAGGGTGAGCACCAACATCTGAATAAAGAAAAAACTATAGCTGAGAGAAAGTCTTCTTTACATTTGTCCACCAAATGTTCACTTTTTGACTATACCATCTGCTTGCCTTTATTTTTCTTCTAGTTTATCTAATGTGAGTAGTGGAGGAGGCAATCAACTTAAATCAGGAAGACAGCTGAAGCATTTAAAGGCAT